GCGATAGGTGTAGTAATGATAGTGCGATGATGCTTTCCTTCTTTTTCTCTAGATGATTCGTGATCTTGGCACAAACGTGTGTGTGTGACATTTACGCCACTCCAGATAGCCTTGTGGGATAGTACCGTTCCCACAATTAAATGTCTTCTGCGGATGTAATCCCGCAGAAGGAATCGTGGAGGTCTGCCTGATACATTCATTTATAGTAGAAGCAAGATTAGTACTGTCGTTGATTTTTTCTGCGGGATTATAGCCGCAGAATAGCCCATTCTTAGACCGCGTTCATAGTAAGAGCCCATTCTTAGACCGCGTTCATAGTTCTCGACTTCGGTGATTATGGCGCACGTGACAACGAAGAAGATATGTATGACAGGAAGATTCGGATAATAGGAGAGTATAATAGTTCGCGAAAAAGATTAGATGCGTATCGATCGGAATTGCTGGAGAGTAGTAGATATTATGTCTTCAAGCGAGTCGATCAGAACGTACCTACCCTCTCGTTGGCGCTTATCCTACTATTAATCTCCCTGTCAGTACCTGTCTTCTTCATTGTAGTGTAATATACTAATCTCATGAGTCGCAAACTATGAATGCGACCTTGCGTGCGGATAGATTTGGTTCTGAGCAATCGCCTAATTGTTTCAGAGTTTATGCATAGTCGGTCGTGCGGTCATAGCAATCGCATAATCAGCAGTCGCATAGAAGAGGCGACGCGGTCCCCCAGCTCAAACCCAAACAACACGTGACTGCGCGTCACGGTATTTCGAAAGTCAGATTGTTCGAGTGTGGAGTAGTAGATGCGTATCGATCGTGCGACGCATGCGATCGTATGCGCATGCATAGTCGGTCGTCCGACCGTAACGATACGTGATGTAACGTCGAATACTCAGGCAAGTCTGACGATCGATACGCATCGAATGCTGTGCGACAGTTACGATCGTTGCTGTCGGACGACCGACTATGCATGCGCCCGAACGACTTTTTGAATACTCTAGTCACCCAAGAACTTGATCGCAAGTGCGCGCGAACAAGTTGCATTACGCAATCTTGCTCCATCTGGAGAGAATTAAATTGATACAGCTGAATATATCTTAGGCTGGTGTCAGAGTCCGCGATCCGTCGCAGGTTTCGCTGATTTTCGCGATTTGCGCGATTCACGCGATTTGCGCGAAACCTGCGACGGATCGCAAAAATTGCAAGTGCCCCATTTGAACATTTGAAACACTGAATATGAAACAAGTGGAATCATGAGCAGTCGTCATTCAGCCATCACTATCAAGCAGAAGTGGCGGCAGGATTGGAGAACACCTTGCAGTATTGATCGGGCACTTGTGATTTCCGTGACCCGTCGCGTGAATCGCGAAAATCGCGAAACCTGCGACGGATCGCGGACTCTGACACCAGCCTATTGTAATGTTGCTTTGGAATAGTCGAAAACATTGCTCTCTTTCTTAACACGTTGGCGATCGTGTGACATGATGTCTGTCAAAGTCTTTTTAAGCTGGTTTTCAAACATTTTAGGTAACTTATTTATGTGATGTATACGCCATACTTAGGCATTGTTACAAAAGGCGTGGTCCCTGGAAAGAAGCTTCGGTTAATGGGCTATCGAGTTTTTCAAAAAATGTTTGAATAATGATCAGTAGCCGCACTTTTTGTGCTTAGGCTGAAATTAGTCGATACAAAAATTGTTTGCAATGGTAATTTGCTACAGTGGGTCAGGACACCTGCATAGTTGCAACCGCTTCTGCGTTGTCTGTGCACGTTTTCCTCTGCCTCCATTCCTCCTTTCACGCAAATCGTCGAGTCTGTGAATAGTCTCCGACATGTAAACCTAGAGAGTTGGGGTAGGCGTGTCACCGGAAATGACGGCCATCGCCGCACTTGATAGAAGCTATGTGGATAAGCTGCTTCCAACATACATCGCTGGATATCAGCAAAGCATGCTGGCAACAGCTTATCCACGCAACTTCTATCAAGTGCGGCACAGTCGTCATTCCGGTGACACACCTACCCCAGTCGGATATCGCGGATGTATTGTTGGCTTGACGTGAGAGCCTCCGTGAGCTCGGAAAGGTATTTCATTCTCCGCATTGTAGTGAACCCTCATTGACATTGATTTTCGCCTTCGTATTTGATACTCCTGGCTCCTGTTTGCGACGCTCATTAAACATAAAACTTAGTAAAAATTTTTAAGTTACTTTGAAGTCTGTGCAGCTGTCTGTCATGAAATATGCAGTAATAAATGAATTGTTTCAGTCTGCCACTACCATACATGGTTGTGGAGGAGTTTCGCGTTAACCTCACCAGAGATGAAAAAGATCTTGTGTCCAATCCAGAGAGATGGTTCTGCAAGCTTCCAGGATCAGCTGCTTCATTCATTGACGCACTGGAAAGCTGGAGCAAGCATCACATAGAAGGTCCTTCCGTTCTTTTCTCATAGCTCTCTGCTGAAATTTCATTTCTTGTTCTTTGTTCTCTCTTTTTTAGTTATTAAGCAGAGAGGAAGAGCTGGCAGTGCGTGGCAGTATATTTCCATTACCGTCACCTGTAGGCGGCACGAAATGTCGCATCACATGCCTCCCCCCTTCCTTCGCTTCCCTTCGCTTCCGAAAAATGCCAAAAAAAGTTTTCTACGGCGACTCTGATACCTAGCTGCAATCCGTTGCCGGATTCTTCAATTTCGATTATTACTTTCATTAAAGGCAAAGGTCGGGATTAGTTGACCTAAACCAACCCTTTCGGTCATGCCTGTACTTGGTTACGCACCCGTAGAGATGTTCCCACGCTCAAAATCT